CACATTAGTGGTGTATTACATACCGTTGTGGAGGTGAGTTCACTTTCATCTGCGGAAGTCTGCTCGGCTTCTCTGACTTATCAAATCCTTAGAAGGTTTTCTTGTGCTGGACCCCAATCTACACCTGTGGTATTGCTGTCAGCACTTTGTGCCTATAGCAGAGCAGACAGGCTGCTCCCCGGGCGGACGTGGGGGCTCCCACCCCCATTCACACACCTACCCTCTCTGACTGAGCAGGACCCCTTATTTCTGAAATCCGGGTTCCCATCTAAAAATCATGACTATTCTGGTCTTGTTTCTATTACTGATATCATTTGTTGTTTTGATTCCTTCTGTCCCTGAATTTAATGAAGCTTGATAATATTGTTTAATAATACTTAATAATGTTTAATAATGTTTCCTGTTCCTTTCTTCACAATTCCTCCTACAACCATCATGGGTTATGCTCTTATGTCTGACTGTATCTACACTCTAGCATGTTCTTTTTTTCTTTTTTCTTGAATTTATTGGGCTGACACTGGTTAATAAAATTATGTATGTAGGTTTCAGGGGTACAATTCTATAACACATCAACTGTATATTATAGTGTGTGTTCACCACCCAAGTCAAGTCTCCTTCTATCACCATTTATCCCCCGGTACCCTCTTCTACCCAAGTTAGCTTATTTTTTCTGTCCGGTGACTCCCCTCTCATTCCATTGCTGCTCAAACAATCTCTTTAAAATTGCAGTAAGATCATACCTCCCCCAAACCGTAAATTAGTCTTCTACTCCTTACCCAATTAACTAACCCGAACATTCACAGCCCTCAGCTTGCCCTTCTCCTTCCCCAACAGCTGTAATCCCACCTCCCACCATGCCTCAGCTCTTTACCCTCCACCAAGAGCCCTGTCCAGCCCGGGCTTGGTAATCACTGTCCCACAGACGTGCCTTGGGTCATCTTACCCTATAACCTCTGCAGTCCTGATTCTTCATCCTCTCCATTGATTACAGTCTGGTCTTTCGAACCTAACTCAACTCCTCGTTGCCTCACCAGCCTAGAATGTCCCTGGTGCACCCTCTGCAAATACCACTTAGTTGGCATTTAGTCATACAGTAGTTTCTATTATAATTTAAATGGTCGCCTCTGAGAGCCTTTTCAAATGGATGGCAAGTTACATGGGGCAAGTCCAGTGTTCTCACTTTTTTGTGTGACTGCAGAACCCAGGACTCTAGATGCTGGCTGATGTACCCATAGGTAGGTTTTATTTTTTCCCAAACAAAGGAGCCTACAAAACCCCAGAAAGAACAGAGGCACCCCTGCTTGAATGCATAACCACGTTTGCATAAAACCAAATATTTTATGAAATCCCCAAATTAAAATAACCATGGAGAGATTTTTAGATAGCCAGATGTTGATCAGTGTTGAAAGGGAGACACTCTCGCCCTGGTCGGTTGCTCAGTGGTTAGAGCGTCGGCCCGCAGACCAGAGAGACCTGAGTTTGGTTCCTGCTAAGGGCACCTCGGTTGTAGTTTGTCCCTGGCCCTGGTTGGGGGTGTGTGGGTGGCAACCTCTTGACGTTTCTCTCTCACATCGATGTTTCTCTCTCTCTCTTCCTCCCTTTCTCCCTCCTGCTCTATCTGAAAATAAATGCAAAAAAAAAAAAGAAAGAAAGTGAGACACTTTCTTATGTTTTTCATACCACCTGAGTCTTTTTAAACGGGTTTTCTCGACCGTGGCTGAAACGTTCCAGCCCAAGCTCAGAAATGACATCATGTCACAGATCTAAGTCTTTCAACCTCAAACCTGGTGGTGTGGTGGCTGGTGTTCCGCAGTTATTCCAACAACCTGAAGGAGAATGTCTGACTGAAACTGAACCAGATGTTTCTCATGTTTTCGTTCTAAATGAGGTGGAATCCTCCCCATCTACCTGAGGGCACACATGCAGCTTTTTTTAAAAATTGTCTTTATTGTAGCTTTTGATGGAAAATCCAGAGAGTCACACCTGAGGACGGTGGGGTAACTGGGGCTGCGGAGCGTGAAGAGCAGACGGGCTGAATGCCAACACCCTGGATGCCGACACCCTGGATGCCAACGTGCCTGCATTTTAGGAGCAGAGGACTTCCCTGTTTCACGGTGGCTGACCTCATGTCAGGGCATCATTCAGGGCAGGGAGAGGAAATGATGCTCACCCCACGCAGCAGCTGTAGATGGCTGGGAGGAGCGAGGTTGAGACTCCCCTGTACGTGTGTCCTGAACAATCAGCCAGCCCAGCCCAGACCAGGGCAAGGCTGGCAGCTGCCTGCCATGCGCTTGCCGCTGCTAATTCCGAGTCCTGAATCAGGCTCTCCGAACTCGGCTACCTGGAACCTCTCTCCGAGCCCCATTCAAGCCCCCTCCACCCCAGGCTTACCCAGCTGCAGTGTTCTCTCTCCTGCTAAACTCAGTGGTCTCGTGTCTGTAGCACTTCACATGTGCTTGAGATTCTGGTCTGCTACTGGTTATTGTATATGTCGTATACACCCGCAGAGGCATGAATCCCCTGAAAACTGGATTACACTTTGCGGCGGTTAATGCAACGGGCAGAGTTGTGACCATGCCAAAACGGAGTTAGACATCGCAGAACCGTTATGAAACGAGCAGGTCCTGGAATATCAGTCTAATGAGGGAAGAGGCATTCCTTCTGCCCTTCCCTGACTGCTCCTCTGTGTCCCTGGGGTGAACGCGAAGGTTCCTGGAGGTGGTACAGGCCAAGGACAAAGCTGAGCTTGTTCTGGGGCACGTGGGGTCTGCTCGGGGAGAGGGGAACACTTCTGAGGAGGTTTTCAGAGACAGGGGTTCCTCCAGGAAGAAAGAATATGCTAAATGTGTTAGATTTTGGATGGAGGGTGGGGGCCACGTGGAAACTGTGTGGCAGGAGCATTGCAGTGTCAAGCAGGATGGCAGATTCCTCTGCTTCTTTCTTGTAGAAAAACACTCTGATTCTGTCTAAGTGTCAGAGGCCCTCTGGGGAGCCCGGGCCCCTTTCCAGGCCCAGGGTGACTCCGATTAGTCACAGCAATTCTCCTCTTGGCCACGATGGTTCAGGCATGAACACACAGTGCAACTCTGGCCAATGAGCTGCAAGAAGTCTGCTGGGGGACTCCTGACAAAGGTTTTATTCATTCCTAGGAAGGGCCACATGAGGTGAAACTTCCTCTTTTCTCCTTCGGATGCTGTGTACGAGGACATGCTGTTTGGAGCCACAGCAGCTGTCTTGCAATCTGAGGGGTCATGTCTGAGGTCCTGAGGGTGGCAAGGAGAAAGGTGAAAAATAGCCCTGGCCGGTTTGGCTCAGCGGTTGGAGCATTGGCCTGTGGACCAGAGAGTCCTGGGTTCGGTTCCCGCTAAGGGCACGTACCAAAAAAAAAAAAGAAAGGTGAAAAAATCTGGGTCCTTGATGACGCTGTTGAACCCTTAGCTAAATCTGGAGAGTCCCCACCTCCGCACTTCTACCACATTTCATCAATTTTACATTTGAATGTTTCTGACATTAGGATGCATATTTTATGGTATGTTAGTTAAAAGGGCAGCATTTCTTCTTTTCTTAGTGGAACCTAAGATAATTGGGTGTTTACAAAAGATCATCTAAGATGTGATGAAACGGATTCCTTATTGCTCTCCATCTTTTAGTAGGTTTTTTTGTTACTTTCCTCTTAGAAGTCTGCTCTGCAATCTGTTGCTCTCCCAGGGGAGGGATGGCTTGGGGATGGTGTGGAAGAGGAGGGAACACTGCTGAGAGGGCCCTGGTGACCACAGTCCCTGGCTGAGCGGGGCCTGGATGCTGGTCCCTCCCAGGAAGCGCTCTGCTCTATTTGGGGTTTGGAGCAAAGGACCTCTGCAGAATTCTGCTTCACCCCAAGCACAGAGGTCACCACAGGCAGCTGGAGTGTACCTGCGGCAGCAGGTCACATAGGGCCCTCACCCCTACTGACAGTGGTCTTGGGCGCTTTGAAATCTAGAATCCAGGTGCACTCAGCTGCAGGAGAAAAGGGACAGAGGACTGGAAGCAGAGAGAGAGAGAGAGAGAGAGAGAGAGAGAGAGAGAGAGAGAGAGGGCTCTAATCCCAGGGGGGATGCTCAAGCCCACTTATGGCATCTGGGAGGCTACACCCTACTCCACACCCCTCACACCCTTCCTACAGCTGGAGGGTGGTGGTGAGTGCCCGTCCCCTGCCCTTTCCTCCCCTCCCTCTCTGCCCTTTCTCCCTGCCCTCCCTCTCCTCCCTCCCTCCCCTGCCTTCTCTCTTTGCCTTCCCTCACCTGCCCTCCCTCCTACCCTCCGTCCCTCCCCTCCCTCCCTTCTCTCCCTCTCCTGCCCTCCCTCCCTCCCCTCCCTCCTCTTCTCCCCCTCCCCTGCCCTCCCTCCCTGCCCTCCCTCCCTTCCCTTCTCCCCCTCCCCTGCCCTCCCTCCCTTCCCTCCCTCCCCTTCTCCCCCTCCCCTGCCCTCCCTCCCTGCCCTCCCTCCCCTCCCCCCCGCCCTCTACAGTCCCTTGTCACAGAAGGACTGACATCAGCACCTCCGAACCCTGTGATGTCTCCTCATTTTGAATTCTGTTTCTCTCATAGACAATTAAAAAATACAAGACCACAAATTAAAACCCTGGCTCTGCAGGGCCCTGTCGCCCGATGGACGAGTAACGGGCTGTGGGCGCCCACTTCACTCAGGGCAGCAGGGAGTTGCTAATTCTTTGGAAACAGACTGCAGTTACATTCTGGGCTTTTTTCCTTGAAGTGGCTGAAAGAAGTACTAGTCTTATGCACCGGTCTCCCTGATTCTGGAGAGCAGAGGGACCAACGGCGGGGGTGGCCGGCCCCTCCCCCGCCTGGACCACAGTGCCCCCCCCATAGGCCCTGTGAAGTCTCAGGGCACAGGCTTCTCCTTCCCTCTGTCCCTTCCTGTCCCCAGGAGTCCAGGGACAGGGCTGCTCCAGGCCCCTCGGGCAGCCCTCACTAAAGCGTAGGGACGCTGATGTCACTCACCCATGTAGAAATACTCTGGGGACTTGTCTCCTGATGAGAAATCCTTCATGGTGCCTCCGAACCGAAACCATAGTCCAAAGGCAATGACTGCGGACCCGGCCAGCTGGAAAAGTAAACAAGGGAGCTTGACAAAGAGCAGAGGGGGTGTGTGTGCCCCAGGAGAGAGCAGAGGCCCAGGATACTGGGGGCTGGAGGTGCATCTCCCGTCTCACGGGTGGGGGGGGTGGGGGATGGGGGTGGGAGGGTGCGGGGGGGGGGGGTCGGGGGTGGGGGGGACACATGAAGTGCTAGGGGCCCGGAACTGGAGTTCTCCCCGTTCTGCCAGGCGCTGTGGGCTGCCCTGGCGCGTGGGGCACGCCCGGCACTGTGCTGCCTGGGGGCACCTCAGCAAGCACTTGCTAGTAACGGCCCCTGGAAGGCATCTGTGCCCTGCCCTCCTGTCCCTATGGGCACTTTGGACCTCCTGACCAGCACCACACAGAGAGGGGACTGTGTTTCAGATGCTGGGTCACCAGGAGCCAGATGAACTCCACGACCTGAGGGAAACCCGCTTCTCTCCATGGGAAGAAAGCACACCACCCAGCCTCCCTCCTGTGTTCCAGGTGCCCAGGGAGAGCGGTTTGAGGCCGCTGGGCCCTCCCCCCGGGCCCCCCTCACGTCACTGCCTGTGGATGGTTTGGCAGGCAGGGAGGGAGCTTGACCGTTTTTTTTTTTTTTGGTTGCTATTTTGAGTTTCCATGGAAAGTGAGAAAGGAAAAAATAATTTTCTGAAAAAGCACGGTCTGTGTGCCATGCAGCTCATGGAGAGGCTGAGTGGCTGGCGTGGGCAGCGGAGGGGCAGGCGGGCAGCTGGCAGAGTCATCGCCTGCGCCCTCTCGGCCCTGCGTGAGGCTCTGCACCACGCTGGGAGTCCTTCCTGCCACCGCGGGACTGCCACTGAAGGGCTGCCACCACGGGACTGCCACCGAGGGACTGCCAGGACAGGACGGCCACTGCGGGACTGCCACCGCGGGACTGCCAGGACAGGACGGCCACCGTGGGACTGCCACCGCGGGACTGCCAGGACAGGACGGCCACTGTGGGACTGTCACTCAAGAACTGCCACGACAGGACTGCCACCGCGGGACGGCCACCGCGGGACTGCCACCGCGGGACTGCCAGGACAGGACGGCCACTGTGGGACTGCCACAGCGGGACTGCCACTCAAGAACTGCCACGACAGGACTGCCACCGCGGGACGGCCACCGCGGGACTGCCAGGACAGGACGGCCACTGTGGGACTGCCACCGCGGGACGGCCACCGCAGGATTGCCACCGCGGGACTGCCACTGCAGCCCCGGCCAGTTGGGCTTAGCGGTTAGAGCATTGACATGTGGTCCGGAGAGACCCGGATTCAGTTCCCGCTAAGGGCATGTACCTCGGTTGCAGTTTGTCCCTGGCCCTGGTTGGGTCGTGTGGGTGGCAGCCACTCGATGTGTCCCTTTCACGTTGATGTTTCTCTCTCTATCCCGCCCACTCTATCTGAACAAAATATCAAAAAATGTCCTCGGGTGAGGATTAAAAAAAAAAAAAGACTGCCACTGTGGGTCTGCCACCACAGGACTGCCCCAACTGCCTCCAGCAGCCTCCAGCCCCAGCATCCTCTCTGTTCACAAACACCCATCTCGAATTTCCTCGTATCAGTCTATTATCCACAGAGGTTCCCTGGGCACCCTCAGGACTCCAAGCACCAAGGGAAAGGAAGCAGTGATGTAAAAATAGACCCTTGGTTTTGCCAACCCCTCCAGTTAGTGTTGGGCTGCCCTGGCCTGTCACCAGGCAACAGGGTAGAGCCTGCCCTTGCCCCAACAGGGAGACAGCAGGACATAGTCAGCGAGGTAGAGGTTTACTAAGGAAAAATGATATCCAAGGCAGGGGTCGGCAGAGACACGGGATCCTTCTATCTCGGGGGCTATTTGTAAGATCTGGCACTACCCTTTGGGCTATCTGGCTGGATTTATATGAGGACTTTATCCTGTCCCCTTGTCCCCTCAAGGCAGTTCCCTCTGTGGCCAGGTCCTTCAGAAGTGTGGGGTGACTTCAGGGGCTCGAGGGCAGAGTGCTCCCAGCTGGCGTCTCTGATGTGGAACAACTCAAAGTTTCCAGTACTGGAGGAAAGCGCTAATTGGATAATGTGAGGGGCAGCCGAAGGAACCGGCTCAACCAGCATGAAAACGTTTCGCATTTTTAAAAAGAGTAGCATGGCGTGGAAAAACCATGCTAGAACATTAGCGATCTTTACCTGTGAAGGGTGGCATTTCAGGTGACTTTTTGTTTTCACTGTATTTTCTAATTTTTCTGCATTCAGCACATATTACTTTTATAAGTTTAAAAATGTTGTTTTTTAAAAGCATGATGTGGTAGTTTGCTCGATGAAGACAAAGTGGGAGAACAAAACAACAAAGCGGGGAGAGCTTTTTTGGGCTGTGCTTTAGTTTAGGAGGAAACCAGCTTCAAGGTCATTGCTGTTTCAGGTACAGGAGAGCGTGATGCCCTTGGGAGAGCATCATCCCCGGAGCCGCCGAGGCTGCCCAGGACTGCCGTGCCCACGGAGCTCAGAGACTCCCCAGCCCGCCCGCCCCGTGGCGACTTGATGGCAGGAGAGTTTCCAAACACAAGGCCGAAATCTACTGACAGAGAAGTCGGGCCAGGGCCTGCAGCCACCCAGCAGACTGTGGAAGAGGCGACTGGTCCCAGGGACACCCTACCACGCGGCCACATTTTTGGCATCTCTGTACACAAACTCTAATTTATAGCTGTCTGGATCATCCTCCCAGATGGAATACATTTGTCCACTGCTGGCACAGATGTGTTTGATGCATAATGGAAAATTAAAAGAGAGGTTGCAATTTAAAGCCACGGGACAATGAGAAAATATCTGCACTTTGCTCATCCACGCCCGCCAACCCCAAACCACACGGGTTTCCTCCCGAGTCAAGGAAACTGTGGCTTAGCTGAATGTCATCACTGTGTGGAGGGAATCCTCCGCCTGCAGCTGCTCCCAGAGGCAGGGACACTGGGGAGGGCCCCGCAGGTCCCAGGCTGCTTGCGACACAGCGATCGCTGTCTGGGAAGTGGCAACGACTGAGACCATGTGGCCAAAAGGGTTCATTTCAACTGGCTGTTCCTGTAAGGACAGAAAGCAGGGTTTTCTTTCTTTCAAGAAGCAACTGGTGATTAAACACAGAGCTGGCGGGTGTCTGCACCTTCAAACCGCCTTTCTACCCAACTGAAAGGGGCCGGAAGGAATGTTAGAATTAACAGAAAATATTAGAAGAGTAAGAAAACTAATCCTAGTGGGGCACTAGCCATAATTAGAAAAATGTTAATCATCCTTTACAATGTTGACCGTGGCTGCTTTGTTCTGACGAAAGAAAAGCACATTCTGCCCTGGCCGGGAGGTGTGCGCCTCAGCTTACCTCGGGAACGCTGTCCATTCCCCCGACCTGAGGACAAGGGGGACCCCTGACATCTGCAAAGATGAACAACACTGGACCCGTGGCTGTGACTCACTGGTGACCAGACTCTGCAGTCCCCACCCACATTCCTTCTCCTTCTCCCAGGCCAAAGAAGAGATAAGAAGCCCCCCCCCCCCCCGCCCCCGGCACATCTGCCCTGTCCTCCCAAAGCTCCCAATAAAAGAGCAACTCACTCTCTCTACTTGGCCCTGGTATTGCCAGTTAGTGCCTGGATCCCGTCCCTGTCTATGGGGAAAGACAAAATACATGTCCTCCCTTTCCTCTTCTTCCCGTTGTGCATTCTTTCACAAGTCCGTGCCACTGGGCCAGACACAGCCCTGACAGCTCCTGCGGCTCTGAGTGACTCTGTGTTCGCCGGACTTCGGTGGCTCTACTAGAAATGCTTGAAAAAATTCACACCAAGTCTAGCCCAGTCAGGAACAAAGTGAGCAGGACACTGTCATTGAGTCCCATCACTCTGTGGCCCATCCCCTGGAAGAAAAGGCCCCTGAATGACCCGTGGGAAGCCTGCAGCCCCCTCAAACCCTACATTTTAACCTTTCTAGATCAAAGCCCCCAGCCCCCACCAGTGCTTCTTTTTAATCTCAGCCACAACACTGCCCCTCAGCCAGTGTCAGAACAAGCAAGGAACGACAGGCTACCTCTTTTTTGTCCCTTTCCTTCTCTTGTCTCCATCTGTATCTCCTCTCCCTCCCTCCCTGTCATCAGGGGATCATCCGTGGTCCCTGAGGGACCATGCTAGGCATCAGGGAACAGTGATGACAAGGACACGCCTCTGGGCCTGACTCGGAAGGTGTGCTCACGCTGTCCAGGGACAACCGCGGTCCACGCAAGACTGTCCATTTTGATTTATAACTTGAAGAATAAGTTGGAAGTCCCTGTGCAGGGAAGGGCGGGGAAGGAGTGGACAGTGTGAGGAGGGACTTGGCTTCCTTACCTGGAACACTGTTGGGGAAAGAGGACTCTGGGGGAGGCCAGGCCTGGGCTTGAAGGGTGAGTTGGGGCAACCGTGGTTCACGGCTTCTACACGTAGCTGGGTCTTGGAGCCCAGGGCTGAGCCTGGAAGGGAGGGGAGGTGGGAGCCACTCATTCTGTGGGGACAGTCAGGAGTGCGACCTGATGCCAGGCACAGTGAGGAGCCCAAGGTAAAGCCCTGAGTGGCTGAAGGCCGCGGGGGGACGTCAGGGGCGGTGAGCGGGGGGACACTAGTGGCTGACAAGGGGGATGCTAGGGGGTGATAGCAGTGAGGACCATGAAGGACCCGCTCCTGTGCCTGAAGAACTTTGCTGAGGGCTGCCGAGCTGCCAGTCCCAATCCCCACAGCTTTGGGGTAATTATCACCAGAAATATTTTCGTTGTTCTAGGAATGGGCTTTTTCATACAGCAGCCTAAGCTGGCCTCCGATGTCACTTAATGAACATGTATTGTGAACCAGGAGCCATGCATCCAGAGGTCAGGAAGACCCCGGTCCTCCTCCGGAGGGTCTCGGCCCGTGGAGAAGCTGACCCCGCTGGGTAGTCCAGAGGGACACTGACCCTGCAGGTGAGAATCAGTCACAGTACCCGCCAGGAAGTCAGATGGTGCT